TCCTTCAGGTCAGGCAGCGTGGATCTGGAGCCCCTCCCCTCCCCGGCTGACAGCTCTGCTCCGACCAATCACAGAGGGAGCTCGGAGTCGGGAAGTCAGAGTGAGTAGCGATGTGAAACCCGTCAGGTTTACAGCTCTGGTGGCAAATGTTGACACGCAGGCGTCCGACAGTCAGACAGACTGTCACTGGGAAGATAAAATCCTGGGAGTGATTTAAAAGAGCTGCTTATAAATCACACTTTGATCATTCTGCTCCGTCATCATTAACAAACATTAGCAGCTTGACACATGTTGCTAACGTGTCCAAAAAAACAGGTTAACAGCAATTATTTGGAAGAAAACTGACGAGAAATAGTGAAATCATTTCCCAAACTCATGGATGATCACATTACAGATTATAATAAAAGGAAAATCATCATTTAAAAGTGGGATTAGTTTGTCATTTCAGTTTATTTTTGAACAATCTGTAGCAGCAAAACAAGCTGCAAACACAATAAAAAGCATATTTTAAGGTGACGACACATCAAACTGTCTTGTTTTGTATTTGGAGTCCGTTTAGCTCTGTTATCTTTTAGGGCAGGTACGTTGTTTTGCAGTGGAGGTTTTTTCTCCAGCTGACGGCAGCACCGATGAGAGCAGTGAGGCAGAAACAGCTAAACAGTTAGCTGGAAAACACAACCGGTGTGTAGATCTGAGAGAAGCCGCAGAGCTTTGTCAATACGAGCGACACTGTGCAATAGTTTCCCTCCTTATTAACCCCTTGACCCCTGAAAAAGTTGAAAGTCGTGGTTAATGGTAAGTGGTCGGCAATTACAAAGCGCCTCTCTACCTTAGTGGTGCTCAAAGCGCTTTACAGTATTTCACACACATTCACAAACCACCAACCCGCTCCACCAGCTGAGCCACAGTCGCTCATGTTATCTACGTAAAAACTCAGAGGTTTAACCATCCAGCAGAGGCAGAAACGCTGAAAACACAGAAAAGATCATCAGGTTTTCATTTTCCGTGAGCTAATCATGTGCGACTTCCAGTTTTGTTGGGACAATGATCAAAGTCTTAAAACTGTGATATATGATCTTAAATAACATCAATAAATACACTATTTGTTTTCCTCTGGTTCTGTACAGTCTGCCCTTTTCAGCACAACAATCAAACCGTTAGTTACTCAGCTGTGACCAACAATCAGGTGACAAAAATTCAGGGGACTTTTTTTTTTGCCTGAGCGGTGCTGAATAGCCGGCTGTGTTCTCATCATTACTGAAAATCTGAGTTCTAAAAAAAAAAATACAAGTACAGCGACCAGTTTTCCAGCATTAGTAACACCTGTGGAAACTTCCACAGTGTTTTTTTGTGAAATAAAAATATCTTTTTTAAAGGATTTATGGCATGACAGCTTTGTCATACTCCTGACAAGGCATTTTGGAGTTCTGTAGTTGTTCTGTTCCCATAGAGGTGCAGAAAAACATGAGCCCACAGTGAGGAAAACTGCTACAGGAATGAAACTAAAACCCTCATTGATTGGTGCACGTAAAGACAGTAACGAGACTTTGTTCCTCCGTTTGTCCCTCCAGCTCCCGTCTCCTTCGCCCTGCCGGAACAAGTCATCCAGAAGACGGATCACTTCCTGTTCTCCTACCCCTGGTTCCACGGGCCCATATCTCGCGTCAAGGCGGCCCACCTGGTCCAGAGCTCCGGACCAGAGGGACATGGTGTGTTCCTGGTCCGACAGAGCGAGACTCGCCGGGGAGACTACGTGCTCACGTTCAACTACCAGGGAAAAGCAAAGGTACGGACTCAGCTGTTTGTGTAACCGAAGGCCACAATCGCTGTTCAGTCCACATGTGGAAGTGGTTCACCCAAAAGTTTGGCAACACGAATGAATGCTTTTTCCGAACCCACATTGTTCTTCTTTTTGCACATCAAACCGGTGCTATCCTCATTTCCTGACGGCGGCCGACACTCGAATGAGGAAGCGTTAGGCAAACGGCGAGCTGACGACAGCGACCTGAGCTGCAGGCGGCACACTTCAGCCGCTGCTCAGATTCAATCAGTGTGGAAGTCTCACTCTCTCCTTGTCCGTCTTCTCCCTGCAGCACCTGCGCCTCTCTCTAACAGAATCGGGTCAGTGCCGGGTGCAGCACCTGCGCTTCCACTCTGTTATGGACATGCTCAGTCACTTCCGCCTCTTCCCCATCCCGCTGGAGTGTGGAGCCGCCGGCGCCGTCACGTTGTCCAGCTTCGTAGTGGCGGGCTCCAGCCCTCCATCACAGGGTGAGACTCATTCACGTCTGCTTATCAAGCAGAAAAACAACTATTCAGCTTTATTTTATTTTTTTGTAATTGTCAGAATCTTTTTTAAAAATTGTGGTCATGTGGAAACCTAAAGTCCAATTGGGCAACAAACACAAGAGGTTAAACGTTGTCTCACTTCCCTCTGCTGCCTGTTTGAATTGGTTTACATCAGTGTGGAGATGTTGTGACACAAGAGGTTGCAAATAGACGTTGCTTTGCTTTAAGTGTGTCACATATCAGGATCGCTTCATTTGAAAGTATTACAAATAGTATAACACACCTCGTTATGATTCTGTGCTGCACAGAAAACTTTGAATGTGCGACTACGGCAAGTGTGGCAGGACAAAGTTTTAACCAGGAAGTTGTTTGTAAATGTAAAAGTAGAAATATAAAGACAAATAAATAAAATAATTAAAAAATATATTTT